CATATCTCTGTCTATCTGTCTAACTGTCATGTGGGTGAACCTGCTGTGTCCATTCAACACCCATGCCTGGTATCTATTGGGTACCAAGCTAAGCCAGAAGGAGCAGTTTCATCCCTTTATCCCTTGAAGGAGCTGTGTGTGTACATCCCTGGGAGGGAAGAAAGAGAGACTGAGATTTAGATGGCAGTAAACTAAACTTTAGCTGTTGAACCACAGGTGTTCCACTTGTCACCCTCTGCACTTGCCGCATAAAGATGGAGCCGTGTAAGTACTGTGGCTGGGAGGCTGTGGGGTGGAGGAAGGAAGGAGAGTGGTGAAGGCAGGGGCAGTCAGTCAGCCATATCTACTGCATGCCAAGAATGTGTGTTTGCGTGAAGGTGATGGTAGTGTCCACAACGAAAAGAAGCCCTAATATTTTGTAGAACACTTTAGTTTGAGAAACATGCTCACACATCCTTCATCTCACCAGATCTTCAACCACAAGAGTAAAACAGGCAGGTGCTTCTCCCACTGTACACATGAGCCCCAGGGAAATTAGGGATCATGCTCAGGGTGAGGCCACGGAGGTATGGCTGGGTCTGGAGGCCAGAACTCGAGTCTTGGCAGCTGTGCCATTGGCTCCCCTCAAAAGGAACAAAAGACCTGGCCATTGAGAAATATAAATCTCATCGAGTAAGCGATTCCTACCAATGGTGCACTGCAGAACACGGAGGCCACTTAGATTAGTCACTGCAGAATGAGCCCACTGGACCTGCAGCTGGGAAGGCAGGACGGCCCAATCTAAGTGGGCTTCCTGCAGGAAGGCAACACAGAGTCAAGCAAGAGAGATTTCCAAGTGGCAGGAGACATGAGCAAAGGCTAAGAGCTGGGACCAGAAGGTCAGAAGCAGGAGCCAACAAACAGCCAAGGGTCTGAGTAGTGATTGGGGGGAGGGGGCCGATGGGGAGGTTGGGTGCGGCCTGTCTGGAGGTGGAAGCAGTGGAATCAGTGTTTGTCACTGCGGAGTACCTCCCTCAGTGTCATGGAGTTTGGCTGAGGTTGGGAGGACAGACAGCTGACAAAGTGGGGACAAGAACTCACACTTCCTAACTGGCCCTACCCTACCCAGGACAATTCAGCTGGCTCTTGAGCAAACAGGGATGCACAATGGAACTTTGCATTGACTTGCAGTATATAGCTCTTGTTGAGTGAATGAATAAAGGAATGATGGTCAGGCAAGGGACCAAGTCTGAGGAGCCTTGTTAGGGGGGTGGGGTGGGCACCAGGTAGAGAGGTTTCTCAGTGCAGAACCAAATGACCAAAGCTGCTTTTTTTTCCCCTTCCTCTCCCACAGGTCCAAAGGTAGGAAAGTTCTCCAGCTATCTCCCCTTTTCCTCGCCACCGCCATGTCCTCCAAACCTTGAGCCCCCTTCCTAGACCCTCAGGGAGCAACCATGACTTCCCCCAAATGAAGAGCGGGCAGCAGGCTCGGGCGTCAGTCCCACAGGCGGGCACCACAGTGCTCATCCACCCACTGCCGGCTGCAGCCTTCGCTCGGCTTCTCTCCTGTTTTCCCATCTGTCTCCCTCCTTTCCTCACATCCCCTCCCTGCCCCAGCAGCCCATCCTCTCTCCTGCTGCTTCTCCACCTGTTCCATGCTTCTCTGCTTTCCTGACTACCCCTACAGCCTCCCTGGATGGCTGGCTTGCTCCCAAACCCCAACCACATGCAGGGCCCCAATGACCTGCCTCTGCCAAGGAAGGGAGGCTGCCTGCTCCTAGGCCTGGAACTGGCCCCACCATAAAAGAGTCATAGGAGAGACAGGCAGGGTGGGAAGTGGCTGTTTCCAGGCGGCACTAAGCCTGGATGGGAGAGGGGCAGCTTTATCAGGGTCACTGGAAAGCCCTGGGCCCTGGAGCCTGCCTCTTCCCCACCTGTACCAAGTCCTTATCAGGCCCTAGGAGGCAGAAGCAGACTGGGGAGTCATCCAACCCCTAGAGTAGGGACATAGCCCCACCACTGCTCCCTCAGGACCCCAGACGCCCAGTGCCCTAGCACCAGAAGCAAGATGGTGTCTCTCTCCTCTTCCCTGGGCCTGTGGCAAGAGGCAAAGAAATTCCTCTGGCCTTGGGGCATCAGGAGGGGTTCCAGCTAAGACAGAACATTAAACCCCCACTTTTTCCAAGCGTCTTCTGGCTGAGGCAGTAAAGCCTTGATTTTACTTTCTATTCTTCCTGGTTTCTTGAGTCTGACACCTACTCAGCAACAGGCATGGGCTCACACAAACTCCCATTGTCACGTACACATAGCCATAAACATGCACTCATATGCATATATCTGTGTACACAGCAGGCGTGTGTATGTACCCACCCATGCACATATGCAAAGACATAGCTATTTGTATGTAAATATGGCACACACCCTCATACATACACACGGGCACACACTACCTATACAGAGTACACATACATCCTCACCTTGCAACCTCCTACCTTTGGTCTCCTTCCACCCTCCAGCTCCCTCGTCCTTCTCCTCAGCTCCTGCATATCCCCCAACACTGCCTCCTGTCTCCTCCTTGCCACTGGCCCTCTGTGAGCTCCTCTGTAGCCTCCCCTAGTCCCACCCTCACTTCTAAGTAGTCAGCCTGCAGTTCCTAGCATGGCAAAACCTCTAATCACTCTGCAAGGGGTCCTGGGTCAGGGAGGAGAGAAAATTTGACTTAGTTATGGATAAAATAAACCGAGGTCCAGGGCGTGGGAGTCATATCTCAGCTCAAGGAATGGAAACCAATGAATCTAGGTTCCTCCCCTTTTGTCTGCTCACAGCTCTGACTTCATCAAGGCAAAAGGCCCAGGGCTAGGAGGAGTCACTTGCTGTCCTTGTTTCCCAGCCCTCTGCCAAGATTCCTTGCCAGTCCCCAGGAATCCTTAGTCCGCTACAGTAGGGGGTGGGGGAAGGGAGGAAGTGGAGGGGGAATTGATTTTGGTAAGATTGGCACTGACCCCTGACTCTAATATTGTTCATTTGGCTTTCCACAGGGGCACTGCCGTGGCCCTGGGCACCACCATGGCCCAGGATGCCCCCCCCATGGCCCAGGAGGCCCCCATCCAGGGCCCGGTGGGCACCCCCCTGGCCATGGCCATGGCCCAGGACACCACCATGACCCAGGGCACCACCATGGCCCAGGATGCCACCCCCCAGGGCCCGGTGGGCACCCCCCTGGCCATGGCCCAGGGCACCCCCCACACCCACATGGTCCACATCATTGAAGAAGGAGAAGCAGCAGGGCACAAGAATGGCGAGCCTGAGTGGGTTGCCCTGCTAAGCTGGCATGGGGCTTGAACCAGAATCCTCTAATAAACAGCCTCCTGGAGGCCATGTTTCACTCTTAAAAGAGCTTGTCTTCTTTCACATTCAACTTGCCAAGCAGGGGGCCTGGTGGTCTCTGGGTTCCCTAGTTGGGAAAGTGGGGTACTTAGCCAGACATTCTCAGAAGCTTCCCTCAGTGGTGCCCATGCATATGTTGTATAAGGCCACCCTTCCTTTCTTTTTCACTTCTGCCCCCTCCCATCAAAAGGCCTCAAGTGTAGCCCATCATATACACCCAGGCCTGGTGGGCCTTCCAAGGTTCCATCTTGCATGCCTCACTCTACAGATCAGAAGCCTTCAATGGATCCCTACCATCCAGATGTATTTCTCACCATTCCCTTAAAATACACTGAGCTTTCCAGCCTCCTTAATTTTGCAAGTCCCCTACCAACACCAACACCACCCCACCCCCAGGTCAGGAATGCCTTCCTTCCAAGCCAGCTGCAGCTCCACCATCAACAGGAAGCCTTCCCTAAAGCCCATTAGGAAGAGAGAGGGCCTTTCTCTTTGCACACTGCCCCCTTCTCTGCAGCTTATATCAACCATCACATGGGCCTGACCACACCCTACCCAGTCAGCACCAATTTATAGGCTGGCCTTTTATCTCTCCAACCAAACTGTAAGCTACTCAGGGCAGGTCCCCCAATTCTACACCTCTAGATTTTCCTCTCGCCATCCCCTACTGACCTATGCCTTGCATAGAGTGGCGTTTGCACACAATTTAGACATAGGTATACCCCAAACGCTCCTGGGTTCCGACTCTCTCCCCAGCCCCATTCTTCAGCCAAGGCACCTCGCTGTACATAGAGCCAGCCTGCTTGCTGTGAAACTCTTTCTGCCCATCAAAATCCAACAACTGGGACTCTCTCTCCCAGGCTTCTGAGACTTCCCATATCTATTCCAGTGCTACCACAGTCCTCTAGCCAGGCCTGTCCACGGCCCATCACACATCACACCTCCCCTCCCTCACAGCCATTCTTGGACTGTGACCTGGAGTGAGTGGCTATTAGATACTTTCCAGGCTGCAGTGGGGTGATAATAAGAAAAGGAGCTGGGGATTCTTTGAGCGCCTTTCTTTTCTCGCTCTCATCCCTCCCATTCTCCGCACTTGAGTAACAGAATCGGGGCTTCACGTCTGAGGGGCGCAGACCCAGGTCCAGGTCCAGAAGGGGAACGTGAAGAAAGAAGCAGCTGGTGCCTACCCCACTGGGGAAGAGAGGGAGGCGCTGAGCGGAGCCGAGAGAAATGTGCAACTAAAGTCGCCCGACCTCTCTCGACCCCTCGCCGTCCTTCGCAGTGAAGTGAGGGCTTGCAGCTGCTCCCTTTTTCCGCCTGGAAGAGGCTGCGTTTCAAGTCGTGAGGCTCTCGGAGCGTTGCCTGGGGTCGCCCTTCCTGGTCCCTTACAGGAAGACAGATGCGCCCCAGGAAAGCTTGGTGCGCGCACTGCAGCCACACGGCCGGACCCCTAACAGCAGCTCTCGGACTTGGCCAGGGTGGAGGGGCTCACACCACCAGCCCAGGGTGCTCCAGACAACGAGCCTCCAGCGCTGGGCAGCGGCGCCGCGGGAAACCTCTGTCCCCGCCCCCCCCGTGCCGCGCCCATTGGTTGGGCTCCTCGACGGCCCCGCCCCGCGATCGGCCCTCCCGGCGCTGACGCATGCGTAGGAGCCAGCCGCCGCCGCCGCCACCGCCGCCGCCGCTTCAGCACCAGAGCCCGGACAGCGGCGCCGCCCACGGGCATGGAAGGTGGTAGCGGCGGCAGCGGCAGCGGTCCGGCTCCCGGCCCGGATCCGGAAGGGGAGCAGCGATCCGAGGGGGAGCCCTTGGCTCCAGATGACAACTCCCCGGACAGGTATGGCGGACCGCTCCGCAGACCCAGCTCGCGGACCTTCTCAGCACCCCCACCCCTGGTATCCCCAGTAGCCGCCATATGTCTCCCCATTCATTCCTCAGCCCCTCCCAGAGCCCCTTCCCGCGCCTCCATGCTCCCAGCCCCCTGGCCACGCACTCATTCTGCCAGGTCAATTTTCTCTCTCCCTGATAGCCCCTACTGTCGCCCTCACCTGCCCCCCAAGGACCAGGGGACCTGCCCCACCCACCCTTCCTACCTTACCTCTAAGGGCCGGGGTTCCCTCGCCCCTCTAGCCTCCCGAACCCCTCCCTCGAGGCCCTACCTCCGTGTTTTCTCAGTAAGCCCCAAGCCCGCAGCGACCTCAGTCTGGGTTCCAGCGTGTCAGTGTGCTCGAGGGTGCGGATGTATCCTAGAGGGGAAGCTCGCCAACATGTGTGTCCTGAGGAGGTTAGATACTCGGCCGCTACGCCAGGGACTGTCTTTGTCCATCACTGTCAGTCCCCAGTCTGCCCTGCATGGCCGGCTGTGCACGTGTAAACGTGAGTCCCCGTGTGTGGCAGCCACCAGCACTCGCTGGAGGCACTAGGGTGGCCAGGCTCTGAGGCTCAGGCTGTGGTCACTACCGTCCCTGAAGGAGCCCCAGGCTGGCAGGACAGGAGGAACACCTTCCTGCTGAGGGCCCAGATCTCAGTGCCTCTCCTCTCCCTTCCTCCATCATATGTGTGAGGGAACAGCCCAGCCAGGTAGCAATATGGCGCAATTTCTGTGCCCTGCCTGGTCTGCCGCCCCCAGCATCCCTCCCCTGACATGACACTGCCTCTCTCTCCTGCCTGGACTGAAATAAAACACACTCTTAGGGGGCAAAAATCAGAGGTGGACACACTGTCCCCAGATCGCCCCAGGTTGAAATGTACATTCACTACCTCAGAGCAAACAGAGGCCCCACAGGTGGAGAGAAATGTTGTCTCCCCCCTACTGTTACATATCAGCTGGGATAGATTTAGTCACCTTTCAGACTGAAATGCACAGAGCTTTCTTCAAGAGGGTAAGACACGGCATGGATGTGTCTCCTGGACCATAGAGCTGCCTGGGACTGTGGCCTGGCCAAAGAGCCAGGCATAGACAGGGAAGAGACAGTGACCAGGGCAGGGCAGGGGTGTGGGGCCAAGAGCATCCTAGAAGGGGCTTGAGAGTCCTTTGCTACCTTGGATATTTTGCCAAGGATCAGCCCTGCCCAATCTGCTACTTCTCTTGTACCTAGGGGTCATTCTTGGCACAGGAACTACATACTGTCTTCCAGCAACTCCCTGAGACCTCTGGTCCCTCTCTGCACATCCCAGAGACCCTGGACACTAATCAGGCAAAGGGACTCCATCCAATTCAATTCAAGAAACAGAAATTGCTCCTGCTGAGCTATGTAGCACTCTGGGGATAGATACTTATGCACACAGTGCATAAGACAAGATAGCACACATGCACACACACATAGAGTCCTTTACTAACGCATTGACTATAGAGCAATTAGGAATAGTTCATTCTTTGTGTTTTTAAAATTACCTTTTTATTTTCCTAGTGGCCTGAGCTGCTTTCCCATCTGTCCTGGCTACTCTGCGTGATCCATGGATGTCCATATGGCTATGTGTCTGTGGGCTCAGGGGCATGGTTAATGCACGTCGATATTTGCCCCTTCCGGGGTTCCCAAGTGGGGGCTCCGTGTCTAGGGCCCTATCAGCCAAGCCCTCACTACTGTGACTTTGGTCTCTTGAGGAGGCCTGCATCACCACTTTCCATCCCCCTGCCTGCCTGCCCCAGTCACTTGGCTTCCAGGCCAGCAGTCCCAGGCAGGCAGCCCATAAAGGAGCTCATCCTAGTCCCATGGAACAGAGAGGGTAACAAAGAAAGCCCCCTTGGGAAGCCAGGCCTGGGGTGCTTAACTTGCATTATCACCAGGTCTCCTGAGAACCGAGGGCAGCAGGGGCTGGCAGGAAAAAGCTTTTATTCTGAGAAGAGTTTGGCTCTTCTCCTTGGGAGAGTTGAGACAAAGGCTGGTTCTATAGCAGTCACAACGTGGAGGGTTTCAAATTCTGTCACACTGACAATGATGGGCGCAGTCAAGAAGGGTGAGATTTGGGAGTAGCTGACTCTAGGTCCCTGGAGAGGGAGAGAAGGCATTGCAAGGAAGGGGCCAGGGCCAGGGAGACCCCAGTAGAAGCAAACCAGTTGTGGAGGCTGGAACCCCCTTGAAAAGGAGCCAGCTAAGGAAGGGGGTGGGCTTCTGAAGTGTGGCAGACTGGTTAAGGGAGAGTGCTCCCAGTCTCCTGCAGCACCCCCCGGAGAGCTGGCTTTCCCTTCCTAGTGAGTGCGCTAAGGCCAAGGGCAGCTGGTATAGGCACCCTGGCTGCCACACCCTCCTGACCTGTGGAAGGCAGGCCCTAGTCTAAAGAGGAAGACCAAGACTAATGCGTCATCTTCATGCCTTCAGGATCCAACGCAGACCAAGCACAGTGCCCAGCATGTGGCAGGTGCTCAAAAAAGACCTGCAGAATAAAAATCTTAAAGAAGTAGATGTCCACACCTATACACATAAACCCAGGCCGTATATCCAGCTTCCCTTTGGCCCATGAGGATGGGCTCATATGGGCTTTTATCTGCCAGGACACTGGTCATTAACTGTATGGGGTCATCTGAGGTCTTGCTTTAGAACAACTTTGGTCAAATTCCTATTTTTCTAAATGTTGAGTGAGTAAAAAAAATAAGTATCAGTGATTTAAATCATGAGATCAAATTGTGATGCAGCTTTTGGATAACAAAAAGGGAAGTATTTATAATTATATATGTAGTGAGATTCTGAAGGTGTGAGAAGTTCTCAAGTGGAGATATATTATCTGAAGTGCCTAAGGAGGTCAAATTGTAAATATAAATGTACTTCTTAAACTCCACGCTCCCTGCAGCACTGAGTCGGGGAAGGGGCAGCAAAGCAAATGTGTCTTCCACACGCCAAACTCCATACCAGGCACCTCACATAGGTTACATCAGTTAATTCCCATACCACCCTGAGAGGGGGGCGTGGTCCTCATACCCTCACTCAATGGACAAGGATGCCAGTGCTCCACCAATTGTGTGTCTTTCCCAAGGCCCCAGAGATAAAGGATGATGGAGCCAAGAGCCCCCTCTACTGCTCCCCCATTTTACACTCAGCATGAGGATCATGCCCCCGCCCCCACAGACTGCTATGTCAACCAGCCAGCCTTCTGGGAGGAAGATGAAGAGCTTGCCTATTCTTTCCAGTTCCTTTACTTGGTCTCTGGGCAGAACCCAGCCTCGTGGGCAACGTCCACTTGCCACCACAGCCAGGACTCTGGCCCACGGTCCCTTCAGTAGCACAGCAGGCAGGACTGGAAGCCAGGGTTGGCTCAAAATAGACCTGGCTCTCCAAGCGGAGCTATGCAAGCTCTGGCAGGCCAGGTGAGCCAGGCGAATGGGGGGAGGGAGCCAGGGATCTGCCGAGGTTGCCCAGCCCCGAACCCCTCTGAGAACCCCCCATGGCCTTCAGGCACTCTGTTCTGTGGCCATCTTCTCCCATCCTAGGTCCGGCAATCCTGCCACTAAGGCGGGACTCCACCTCACCCCTGTGCCCAAGGAGTCGGCTTGAGTCCGTGCACAGAATGCTGCCCTCATGAGTAATTTTTAAAGAGGAATCTATTGCTGACTCCTCCTTGGCGAGTTCCTTGAGGGGTCCCAAATCCTTCTCCCAACTGTGCACACCCTTGCAAAGCAAACTTTCTGCCCTGTGGCCCAAGGGTGGTGGAAGGGCAGCAGATGCCTCTGCCAAACTTTCCCTAACTTTCACCACCCCCGTCAAAGTAGGCGCCTTCCTCTGGGCACCTTCAGCGCTCTGCGACTTCCTCTCTCACAGCACTCAACAGGTTGGACCGTCTGTATCACCCACCTACTATGAGTGCCTGGAGGACAAGAACCAGGCCTTATTCATCCTAGCACCACTATTAGCAGCCTGTCTAGCACTCAATATTCATTCAGCAAACATTCCCTGGGCAGCTTCTGTGTGCAAGGCACTATTCAAGGCACTGGGGATATGGAGGTGAACAAATGCACCAGGCCCTACTCTCCCAGAGCTCACACTCCATATGAGAGACAGGCAATAAACATGACAGCTATATAAGATGATGTCCAGTCACAGCAAATGCAATGAAGAAATATAAAGCAGGGTAGGGGGCTAGAGAGCTGCTCGTGAGCACTCAGAGAGGGTCATCAGGGAAGGCTTCTCTAAGAAGGTAGAAGTTGAATCAAGTCCAAAATAAAGAGAGGGTGTGAACCATGTAATTATCTGGGGGAGGAGCATCCCGAGCAGAGGGAAGAGAAAGCTCAGAGGCTCTACAGTGGGAACAAGAGTGCAGCAGGTGCTCAACAAATGTCTGATAAGAGAATGAACAGACGACTGTAGCAGAAAACGCACAAGCTCACAAGTCAGAAGAACTGGGTTCGAGGCCCAGCTCTTCATGTCTCACTGAACCTCAGTTTCAAATCTGTAAAACAGGGAAAGTACTTCCCCTATAGGGTTTTTATAAACAGTAAATAAGATGATATAGGTAAAAGCACATGCAGTGCTTAGCACAATGTCTGGCACGTGGCAGGCTGCCAGTAATGTTTTTGTGTGCATGGACAGATGAGTGAATGAGACAATGGACCCCAAGAGGTAGGTAGGAGGGGCTGGCCCGGTGGCATAGTGGTTAAGTTCACGTGCTCCACTTTGGCAGCCTGGGGTTCGCAGGTTCAGATCCCAGGCATGACCTACACACCACTCATCAAGCCATGCTGTGGTGGCGTTCCACATACAAAATAGAGGAAGATTGCCACAGATGTTAGCTCAGTGACAATCTTCCTCACCAAAAAAAAAAAAAAAAAAAGGAGGTAGGTAGGAGATGTAGACCTGGAGCCCCTACCCTCCTCACCTCTCTCCCCCAGGACTAGTAAGAGAACAACCCCGAGCTCCTGTCTTCTTGTCTTGGCTTAATGAACAATGGTGGGGCATGGGGTGGCCCACCACCGCCCCCACCCTCATCTTCCCTGCCTCCTCTCTCCCCAGGTCTCAGAACAAGGCTGTGGCCCCTGAGGCAAGCCCAGAGAAAAGCTGCTCCCTCCAGAGCTGCCCCCTTGATGACCCTTCCAGTTCTTCGGGACCCCCACCAGCAACTTCCACCCTCCAGCCTGTGGGCCTGTCCAACTCCTTGGCACCGGCCCACTTCACCTATCCCCGGGCACCACAAGAATACCGGGGGGGCAGTTCCCTGCCAGGGCTTGGGGACCGGGCAGCTCTGTGCTCCCATGGCTCCAGCCTCAGTCCTTCCCCAGCCCCTTCACAGCGCGATGGAGCCTGGAAGCCACCGTCTGTGCAGCACCACGTGGTCAGCGTCAGGTAAGGAGGGGTCCAGCAGTCTGCCAGCTGCCACTGGAAGATGGGGCAGGGCTTAAAAGTGGAGCCAACCCTCCAGGCTCTGGACTCCCTCATTAGGAGGCAGCCCACGATATCCCCTGCCTGTGATGAAGGAGGCAGCCTGGATGGAGGAGGAAGTCCAGGTTAGAGCTTGTGAGTGGGAAGGCCTAAAAGAGTTATTACCATCTTCCCCTATTCCCCCCCTCCACCTCCTACCCTACATGAGGACTCTGACAAGCAAGTATCTTTTCTTCTCTTCCACAGGCAGGAACGGGCCTTCCGAATGCCAAAGAGGTAGGCCTGGGCCTTCTTTGGACCCCTAGGGGTGACCAGGCTGGTGCCCAGTTTAGCCCCATCACTCCCAGCGGCTCCTAAGCTCACCCATCCCCTGCTACCACACCCAACACCAATTCATGTGGGCTGTCTTCCTCTTTCCCAGCTATTCCCAGCTGATTGCCGAGTGGCCAGTGGCCATGCTGCTGCTGTGTCTGGCTGTCATCCTCCTCTGCACCCTGGCTGGACTGTTGGGGAGCGAGCTGCCTGACTTCTCCAAGCCCTTGCTGGTGAGGGGCCAAGGAGACGGAGGGGGACCTTCAGGCCTGGGCACCTCAGCGCAGTCTGGGACAGAAAGTTGGAGCGTCTGAGCTGGGGGTGGGGTGGCCATGGTGGGCTCTCAACCTCCAGAGAGAGTTGGGGAGATGCAATAGAGGCGATACCCTTGCCCAACAATCCAGGCAGGTGGGCTGGCCCTCCCTGCTCCAGGGACCCAAAGGGGCAGCGCCCAGAAGGGCCAGAATGAAGAAATCCTCCTCCTGCTTGCTTGTTCTTGGCCCTCCTCCATACAGGGTTTTGAGCCTCGGGACACAGACATTGGGCGCAAGCTAGTGGTCTGGAGAGCGCTGCAGGCCCTCACGGGCCCCAGGAAGCTGCTTTCTCTTTCCCCAGACCTTGAGCTGAACAGGTAATGGGTTCTCATCTTTCCACTGTTGGGGGGAGTGGGGGAAAGAATGAGGTCTCCAGAGAGGGGCTATTGGGTGACCTCCCCAAAGGCAGGTCAGAGGAGGTTTTCTGGTGCCCCCCTGGGAAGTGATGTCAGGCCTCCTCTGAGCCCCCGACCCCTTGATGGTGCCTGGCATAGGTTTTCTTTCTACCTCAGCTCAAACGCCCACACCACTCTGAGTCCCACACCCTTGAATGGTGCCCCGGAGGGCATGGTCCGGCCTCGGAGGATGGTGGAGCCCCTGGAGGACAGAGGACAGGAGAGCTTCTTCTGTGGCCCCCCTGGTAAGCTGCAGCCTGGCCAGTTCCTGGTTTTAATGGTGGTCCCCAACCCACCTACTAGAACAGGAGGGCCTAGGAGGACAAATTTGGGCAGACAGAAAGAGAAGGAGGCCGGCTGGCTACATTCAAGCCAAGGAAGTAGGGTTACAGCTGAGAGAATGAAGAAGGTCTCGGGTGCTCCAGCCAGGTAGGGTCAAGCTGGGTGGGGGTGGGGGTGGGGCACCAGGGCGAAAATGTAGGCCCAGGATCAGGTAGCGAGGCACCGGTTTCAGGCTCCTGAGGATCTGAACCTCCTATGGCCCTGGGTGAGCATCTTCCCTTTGGAGGCCCAGGACCTGGGGCCAAAGGACTGAGCTCTGGGGGGTGTGTTGCAGAGAAGAGCTATGCACAGCTGGTGTTCATGTCCACCTCAGCGGGCAGCCTGTGGAACCTGCACGCCATCCATTCCATGTGTCGCATGGAACAGGACCAGGTGAGCTGACTGGGGAGGTGCCAGGGGCTGGTGGGGAACCAGGGACATCAGGATTTCCTGATCCCAGAGACATACAGCTGAGTCAGGACTGCCAGGGTGGACTGGGGAAGAGCATTCCCGGTTTGGGTGGAAAAGAAGAGTTAGCTGTTTTCAGAACAGCCCCAAAACACAGGTGCTGGAAGACAGACCATGCAGAGCCTGGGGGGTTTCAAAAGGTCTTGAAAAGGAGCCTCAAGAGCTATTGAGGAAGGCCCAGCCCAAGGCTCCCAGCCCCCTCAACCCAAGCAGTGCCAATCAATCACGCTAACTGGAGGACCATATACCATGACATCTGAAAAAAGCTTTGCTGCCGAAAACAGTGCAAACACCACAAAGTAGCCCAAGCCACACAAGGGTATGTGAGGTACCCAAGGACAGTGGTCGAGAACATGTGCTCTGGAGTCAGATGCCAGAATTCAAGGCCAGCTCTACTACTCTCTAGCTGTGTGACTTCAGGCACATTTCTTAACCTCTCAGTGCCTCAGTCTTTGTATATAAAATGGGGATAATAATTGTACTTTCCTCATAGGGATGTTATGACAATTAAACAAGAGAGAATTTGTAACTATGGCATAATGACTGACAATAGGAATCTCTTAATAAATGTTACTATGGTCACCATGATCTCAGGCCCAGTGCCATACAGCTAGTTGGTGGCAGAACAGGACCTCTGATTCCCAGGCCAATGCTCCCTGGACGACACCAGCTGTTGTGATGTCAACAGCAGGTGGGATAGAAAAGGAGGCACGAGGTCTGAAAAAGAAACAGCTCTGTCCCCAGAGGGTTTAAGCAGACCAGGGGACAGAGGTAGAGGGCTAGGGTGTGGCAGTGACTCTGATCCTGGAATGGCTTCCACTTTTCCTACTGCTTGCTTCCAGTTTCCTGGACCCCTGGCCCTGTTCCATTTGTGGCTGCCACTTCCACTCCTACTCCTGGCTCAGGAAGTGCAGAGTTGGGGTGTGTGACCTGAAGGAGGGACCCTTGGGGCAAGACCTCTCAGGCTGAGGCCTCGGGCAGCATCCCTGAAGCTCCTCTTTGATGGAGTCAAAATGTAGCTGCTAGCACCTGGGCCAGGAGCCACAGGCAGCTCTGAGATAAGCCAGCTCCGCTAGGCTGTCAAGATACTTCTCTGCCCGTGCCCTGCAGCCTGAAGGGAGGTGAGAGGGCCTCGGACAAGGCTGGGGAAACCTGGGCCCTGGCACTGCTGCTGAGCTCTCTCCTGCTGTGCGTGCCCTACAGATCCGCTCCCATACCCACTTTGGGGCTCTGTGCCAGCGTACAGCAGCCAACGAGTGCTGCCCCAGCTGGTCCCTGGGCAACTATGTGGCTGTGCTCTCCAACCGCTCCTCCTGCCTGGACACTACTCAAGCAGATGCAGCCCGCACACTGGCCCTGCTGCGGGCCTGTGCCCTCTACTACCACCGCGGTGCCCTGGTGCCCTCTTGTCTGGGACCTGGGCAGGACAAGCCCCCACGCTGTGCCCAGGTTCCCACCAAGTGCTCCCGGAGCAGCGCTGTCTACCAACTCCTGCACTATCTGCTGGACAAGGACTTCCTGAGTCCCCAGACTGCTGACTACCAGGTACCCTCCCTCAAGTACAGCCTGCTCTTCCTGCCCATCCCAAAGGGTGCCTCCATGATGAGCATCTACCTGGACCGCCTAGCCGCCCCCTGGGGGCTCTCTGACAACTACACATCCATCACTGGTATGGACCTGGGCCTCAAGCAGGAGCTGCTGAGGCACTACCTGGCCCAGGACACGGTGTACCCCTTGCTGGCCCTGGCTGCCATCTTCCTCAGCATCGCCCTCTACCTGCGCTCCCTCTTCCTCACCTTCATGGTGCTGCTGGGGGTGCTGGGCTCCCTGCTGGTTGCCTTCTGTCTCTACCGCGTGGCCTTCCGCATGGCCTACTTCCCCTTTGTCAATCTGGCAGCCCTCGTCCTGCTCAGCAGCGTCTGTGCCAACCACACCCTCATCTTCTTCGACCTGTGGCGCCTTAGCAAGAGCCAGCTGCCCTCTGGGGGGCTGGCGCAGCGCGTGGGCCGCACCATGCACCACTTTGGCTACCTGCTGCTGGTCTCGGGGCTCACCACGGGCGCGGCCTTCTACGCCAGCTACCTGAGCCGCCTGCCGGCCGTGCGCTGCTTCGCCCTCTACACGGGCACGGCTGTGCTGGCGCACCTGGCGCTCACGCTCGCCTGGCTGCCCTCCTCCGCGGTGCTCCACGAGCGCTACCTGGCGCGCGGCTGTGCGGCCCGGGGGCAGGCTCCGTGGGGTGGTAGCGCGCCCCGGCGCCTGGCGCTGGCGCTGCACCGGCGGCTCCGCGGCCTTCGGAGGGCGGCGGCCAGCACTTCGCGCCTGCTCTTCCAGCGCCTGCTGCCCTGCGGCGTCATCAAGTTCCGCTACATCTGGATCTGCTGGTTCGCCGCGCTGGCGGCAGGGGGCGCCTACATCGCGGGCGTCAGCCCCCGCCTGCGGCTGCCCACGCTGCCGCCGCCGCGCGGCCAGGTCTTCCGGCCGAGCCACCCCTTTGAGCGCTTCGACGCCGAGTACCGCCAGCAGTTCCTATTCGAGCGGCTGCCTCAGGGCGAGGGCGGCCACATGCCCGTGGTTTTGGTGTGGGGCATCCTACCCGTGGACACTGGCGACCCCCTGGACCCTCGCAGCAACAGCTCATTGGTGAGTGACCCTGCCTTCTCGGCCAGCGGCCCTGACGCCCAGCGCTGGCTGGTGGCACTCTGCCACGGAGCTCGCAATCAGAGCTTCTTTGGTGCCCAGCCGGAGGGCTGGCCCACTCTGTGCTTCGTGGAGTCCCTCCAGCGCTGGATGGAGAGTCCTGGTTGTGCCCGCCTGGGGCCTGGCCTCTGCTGTGGCCACTCAGGCTTCCCCTGGGCACCCCAGCTTTTCGTGCACTGCCTCAAGATGATGGCTCTGGAGCAAGGCCCCAATAGCACACATGACCTGGGACCCCGCTTCAATAGCCAGGGCAGCCTGGCCGCCCTGGTCCTGCAGTTCCAGACGAACTTCCAGTATAGTCCAGACTACAGCCAGACCCACCTCTTCTACACTGAGGTCAGCCACTGGCTGGCAGTGGAGCTGAGCAGGGCGCCTCCCGGCCTCCGCCGGGGTTGGTTCACCAGCCGTCTGGAGCTGTACAGCCTACAGCACAGCCTGAGCACCGAGCCTGCTGTGGTGCTGGGCTTGGCTCTCGCTCTGGCCTTTGCCACACTGCTGCTGGGCACCTGGAATGTTCCACTTAGCCTGTTCTCTGTCGCGGCTGTGGCAGGCACTGTGTTGCTCACCGTGGGGCTCCTGGTTCTACTCGAGTGGCAGCTCAACACTGCCGAGGCCCTCTTTCTCTCTGCCTCTGTGGGCCTCTCGGTAGACTTCACTGTCAACTACTGCATCTCCTATCACCTGTGCCCGCACCCTGACCGCCTGAGCCGCGTGGCCTTCTCACTGCGCCAGGCCAGCTGTGCCACGGCAGTGGGGGCTGCAGCCCTATTTGCTGCTGGCGTGCTCATGCTGCCTGCCACGGTGCTGCTCTATCGCAAGCTGGGCATCGTCCTCATGATGGTGAAGTGTGTCAGCTGTGGTTTTGCCAGCTTCTTCTTCCAGTCTCTCTGCTGTTTCTTTGGACCAGAGAAGAACTGTGGGCAGATCCTCTGGCCCTGTGCCCACCTGCCGTGGGACACCGGAACTGGGGAGCCTGTTGGGGAGAAGGCAAGCCGTCCACGACCAGGGCCAGTGGGAGGGGCGCCCGGGTCCTGCTCAGAGCAGTACGAGCTACAGCCCCTGGCACGTCGCCGGAGCCCTAGCTTTGACACTAGCACAGCCACCAGCAAGCTGTCCCACCGGCCCTCAGTGCTCTCTGAGGATCTACAGCTGCATGATGGCCCCTGCCTCTCCCGGCCCCCACTGGCCCCTGCTTCCCCAAGGGAGCTGCTCCTGGACCACCAGGCAGTCTTCAGCCAGTGCCCAGCCCTGCAGACCTCCTCCCCCTATAAGCAGGCAGGCCCCAGCCCCAAAACCCGGGCCAGGCAGGTCTCCAAAGGGCAGAAGGCTGAGCCCATGCAAGCCTCACCAGAAGCCCCAGCCCACTCTCCCAAGCCCAAGGCTGCAGAGCCCCCTGATTGCCTCTGCTCCTCAGCCAGCACCCTAGAGGGGCTCAGCGTCTCCGATGAGACCTGCCTAAGCACCTCTGAGCCCAGTGCTCGTGTACCGGATTCCGTGGGTGCCTCCCCAGATGACCTGGAAGAAACTGAGCACACGGTACCTGAGCGGGGCCAGCTGAACGAGAAGCGGGACACCCTCTGGCTGGCGCTGAAGGAGTCTGTGTATGATCCATCACTGCCCGCCTCCCACCAGAGCAGCTCCTCCTGGAAGGGCCGTGGGGGGCCAGGGGATGGCAGCCCCGTGGTGCTGCCCAACAGCCAGCCAGATCTGCCTGACGTTTGGCTGCGCCGGCCCAGCACCCACACTTCAGGCTGCAGTAGCTGAGGGAGGCCCAGGGAGGCCAGACTGGGGCCAGACCTGTCAGGGATGACAAGGCAGGGGTGGCACCAGGCTGGAGCCTGATGGTGTTTCCCCACGTCAGCATAGAGAGGTCTCACTCTCCAGCTGTGGCTTTTAAACCCTGCGAGATGTTCCAGCCTTGGTCTGGGCTGCTGCTTACTCCTCACATCCGGAGGATTCAGCAGAGACGGTCTTTGGAGGGAAACACCAAGCTCTCCTTGTGACCTGCTTGAGGGCTCATCTGCCCCCCACAGTACCAAACAGGACTCACCCTCTGGAAGGGAGAAGGCCAGATGTGTAGCTCCAGGTATCAGGGGAGGCTGACTTGGCCCCCACACCAAGTGGCAAGACGTTCAGTGGGACTAAGGGAGCCAGTCCTTGGGAACCTGCCAGGCACTTAGCAACCAGAAGAGCCCTTGGGAACCTCAGCAGCCTCCTGGGCCTCACACCTTTCAAGGGCTCTCTATCAGGGCACTTTATTCTCTTTGGGGAGCTTCTCTGGGCCAGAACTGCCCTGCCCCCCTCACCCTCCCCAGTCTGACCGGAAATTCATCAAGGCCGGGCAAAGATGGCTGCTGGGAGTGAGGCAGGAGGAGGGATGGGCAGCCTCAGAGCATCCCCAAACTGCAGAAGGATCCCTCGTTGGGAGCAGGCTCCAGTGCTCTCCTCTGTTAACAGTCAAGAATCCTTGACGAGCCTGCACCTTTTAGTTCACAGAACACTTCCACAGGCATCGTCTCCTGGGAATCTCACCCCACCCGTGTGGAGTGGTCTGCAGTTGCCAGGTTCTTTTGCCCCCAATTTACAGGTGGAGATGTTGAGACTGAGTGCAGTAAAGTGGTTTACCCAGTCATATGACTAGTAAATGGCAGAGCAGGTTCCCTGACTCCTTTCACTGCTACAACTCCCACTCTCCTGCTGCCTACCTGCCTCAGGGACATTGGGCTGTGGCTGTCTTGATCTTTCACTTCTAGGACCTTCCTGCAACCTCCTCGGGTGTCTCTGAGTAAAGTCCCCTCCCTCCCTCTTTAGGCCTCCATCTCCAGACAGGGCTATACTCTGGCCAAGCCCCAGGTTCCTCCCCACCTCCCCTGTGCTCCCTGTGCCTCCCCCCAGATCTGGCGGAGATGCCCACCAGCCATGAGGCATCCGGGCTGATCTGATTCCCTGGATCAGAGGCAGGGGTGTGCCTCTTGCATGGCCACAGTGATGGTGAGTCACTGCCAGGAGGGGCAGTGAGGAGCAGTAGAAGTTGAGCAGAGTCAGTTAAGGCAGGAACTCAGGCCTGCCCTTTTGGGGAGTAGGAAAGTCTGAAGCTGTTCCCCACGTCAGGGTCCCTGGCTTGTCTGGGACAAGTCTCTGTGGGGGCACTCAGCAGACCAAAGGCTGACTCCCCGTCCCCAGTCCCCAAAGCAGAGAGTCTTTCTGGAAGGTTTTATCCCGTGTGAGAGCTCATGACACTTGCAGCATCAGCAAGTTTACTGAACACCTACTGTGCATATGGGACTATAAGGGGACAGAGGTGTAGAAGGCAAAGCAAACATCTGCCTTCAAGGAGCTCACCCTGTAGCTGAGGAAGCAGCTCACACGTGCATGCAGCCATCGATGGGTGTTGATGGCACCATGCAGTGCGTGCTAAGGGCCATATGCCTGTTACCGTTAGTATTGCTGGAGCTCAAGTACCCAGGACTAGGTAACAAGGAAGGCTTCCTGGAGGAGGAACAACTTGAGCTGGGCTTCGGAAGTCCAAGTATCTCAGACTGGAAGGGACCTTAAAGATCATCTTTTCCAGCAGATTTCAAACTTTGTAGCCTCAGGACCCCTTCTTCAAAGAATCCTTGTGTGAAAACACAGTATATAAAACAGATAAAAAGCAGCTATTCCAGGGGGTACAGGGTTGGGGAGTGCAGAGCCAGCTCAGTCTCCCTTTCTACTGCACCTCTCAGGGGGCCCTGGGGAACCCCTCAAGCTCCTGGAGGCTCCTGAGAACATGGTATGAAAACCTCTGACCCAGGCCGTTTACAGATGAGTATCCCAGAGGGGAAGGCATTCTTCTAGGGCTAAACAGACAGTCTGTGGCAGAGATGGAGGCAAATCAGGGGGTGTTCTGGGGTTTTTTTTCCCAATATTGTGGAGACCTACCTCCCACTCCAAGTAGCCCATGAGAAGTAGGGCAGAATCCTAAATGAGACCAAGGAGTTGTGGAAGAGACAGAAGTCCGTGGGTAGGAATGACGGGCTACTTTGCAAAATAAGTAAGTCAAAGGCATTTGCTTCCTGACACCGGGAAGACGAGGCAGTGACTAGGCCCTAACTTGGACCTGCCCTCCTGGAGGTCTGCCAGGACCTCTCTCTCTTCATGTCCAGGTGGAATTCAGCCTCTCTGGCCTAGGGCTGCTCATCAGGGTCCTGACTTCTCTGCACTGTGGACTGTGTCCTGTTATCACACAACCAGGCCGAGGGAGCACTGGTCTCATTTGGGACAATCACCTAGAGGGAGGACAAGGTGAGCCCTTCCTCCTGAGCATGAGCAGAAGTCTGGCCTTGACTCAAAAGAGAATCCACCATCTTAGTTGCTTCCCAGCAACTCACTGAGGGTCCTCTGCCCCGTGTTGTGGGAGGGCAGCAGGCACCTGGACAAAAAGAACCTGTTCCTCCACACGCTCTTTTATGTCTTGTAAAGGAAGATGTTGGTATCTGGGACTGGAGCTTCAAAAACTTTGCCTGAACACCACCACTGACATGTAGAGTACAGGGGGTGGGTGGGGTGGGCATCAGGATTAGGGCACACCTGAGGACCCTTCTCGGGGATTTCTGGGTCCCATTCTTGCAGGCCATGGCCACACAACCCTACAGGAAGAGGTACCAACTGGATTTGTTCTTTACACTGCCGGGCCCAAAGGACTGGAAGAGCCCAGTGGTAATCGAAAACATCCTCTCACACCTCGATGGCCCAAACCAACTGCAGGCAACCCACATCAGTGGGTAATCCAGCCCACCTCTCTAGTCTCAACTTTGGAAAGCAGGATTTAAAGCATTTTCAATTTCCTTTGAGTTTCAGGAGAGCCATTCGCTTTATTGTTATTATGGGTGGTTACAAAGAGTGTATGACCCTGGATTCATGTGGGGAGAGGCTTCAACGCATGCTGTGAGGCAGGGGAAAGCCAGTCAGAGCATTCATGTTTGCTCTGGAAAATTCAAGAAATGGTTTCTTAACGCGGAGACACTTTAGAAAATAGAACTACATTAACACTAATTTGGGACTTGAGGTCCTTTCTCCTATTTGTGCCCCAGATCCTTGAACTCACAGAGTATGGACTCACAGAGTGTGAGTATGTGTGCTGTATGTTTTTAATATGTAACTTGGTATCGTTTGTTACTATAGGAAAACCCATCCTTCCAAGGCTGTGGCCCTTTGGTGACAATGTTAGAGATTTGTTTGACTGGCAGAATCTTAGATTTGAGTGAAACATGGCATATCCCATAAAGTGGTATATTAGTGGTATATTAGCGGTAATTAGTGATCCTAATTCTGAAAAAGGCATCCCACAAGAGATTTATAAGCCAAACTTCCTCAGCCCCCTCCAACCCATCATCTCCCAGTGCTTGACAGGACAGGGAGGCAGGTTAGGGTGTCAGGAAAGAGGATACGTTGGTTTATAGTCTTCACCTGTTGTCCAGAGAGTTTCTGGTCTTTTCTTCCATGGTGTCCTTTTCTCAGCTTTTGATAATACACGTGGGCAATGACAAGCTCTCTGGCACCCCATGCCATGCATCAGGATCCCATTTGCTTGGGGATACGAAAAACAGACATTCCTTACCCTTTCTGCCCTCACCCTTGTTCACAGGGACGACTGTAACTCAAGGTCTGGAGGTGTTTTTGCTTAAGAGAAGAAACTGTAACTCAGTTCACTGGGAAGATGAGAAACAAAAGAAAGCCACTATGTGCTGTGTAAACAGGTGGCTGTCTAAAGCCACCCTGTGCGGAAGAGCCCTGGAAGGACCTTGATAAACTTAGAATTATTATAAGGCCTCTGTGTGCTTATTCATGTTATACTTCAACACAGGGAAAAGATCAGCATCTTAGCAAATTCTCAGACATCAAACAAGAGCTTCAGTATTGCTGAAGAAAATCACACACTGGGCAGATGGATGTAGATTTGAATTCATGACCACCAGCTCAGCTGGACCCTCAGCCCTGCCTAGCTAGTTTCCATTCTAGTTATCAGTTTCCATTCTTTGGAATTTCCTATTTTCTCTACCTTCCTCAAACATCTGATGCCCTCCACTTCCCCGCACCCCACTTTCAGTAAACAAAAAACTCATTCTTCAAAAAGAAAACTGGAAGCATCAGAAAGAAATGTCCTCACCTTCAAGGCATCAAGTCCCTAGCTTACCTATGTCTGCTCTTGCCTGCTTCTCTCCCCATCCCTTCTATTAAAATGAAGGAAGCAGTAATGACTACATCACTAGCTTCACACACTTTGCATCAGAGGTCTTCCAACTAGGGCTAGCATTCCCACAGGAACATGAACACTTTCCAGAAGGCAGGTGAAATCAATTTCCAGAGCTTCTTCCTTCATATGTTCCATCTCCTCATATTGATCGGCCTAGGAAAGAGTCTTCAGTCAGCCGGTTCTCTTTCCCAGCTGACCTGCTCTTTCATTCTGAATCCTATTCTGGCACCTTACTCTGCAGTATAAAAAATGAATAAAAAGACTATTTGAGAATGCTCTGCTTGAAGAAGCCCTTGAGGGAGCACAGTCTGGAGAGGTTCTAGGAGACATTTTGAAGGGGGCAGTTCTGTAGCTCAGTTCTGTCCCTTCTCCATTGAAGAATTCAAATTCAGGAGGCTGGCCCTGTGGCCGAGTGGTTAAGTTCCCGCGCTCCGCTTTCGCGGCCCAGAGTTTCACCGGTTGGGATCCTGGGCGCGGACATGGCACTGCTGATCAGGCCATGCTGAGGCAGCGTCCCACATGCCGCAACTAGAAGGACCTACAATTGGTTATACAACTATGTTCTGGGGAGCTTTGGGGAGAAGAAGCAGCAAAAAAAAAAAAAAGAGAGAGATTGGAGGGGCTGGCCCCGTGGCTGAGTTTTAAGTTCGCACACTCCGCTACAGGCGGCCCAGTGTTTCGTTGGTTCGAATCCTGGGTGCGGACATGGCACTGCTCATCAAACCACGCTGAGACAGCGTCCCACATGCCACAACTAGAAGGACCCACAACAAGGAATATTCAACTGTGTACCGGGGGCTTTGGGGAGAAAAAGGAAAATAATAAAATCTTAAAAAAAAAAGAGAGATTGGCAACAGATGTTAGCTCAGGTGCCAATCTTTAAAAAAAAATTCAAATTCCAAAGTGACAAGGTGATACAAGATGCATATTAACCACATTTATTTGAATTGAGAAACAAAATCTCACTTTTTCTGATACAAAGTCAATCTGATTTGGCTGATGGGTTTGACAGGACTAGCTTTGCAAATAGGATATATGGTGGATGTTTTCCCCAAAAGTGGAATAATTTAAATCTGCAGCTCCAGTGGGGCTGGCCTGGTGGCACAGCGGTTAAGTTTGCACGTTCCACATCTCAGCGGCCAGGGGTTCATCGGTTCGGATCCCGGGTGTGGACATGGCACCGCTTGGCACTCCATGCTGTGGCAGGCGTCCCACATATAAAGTAGAGGAAGATGGGCACGGATGTTAGCTCAGGGCCAGCCTTCCTCAGCAAAAAGAGGAGGATTGGTGACAGATGTCAGCTCAGGGCTAATCTTCCTCAAAACAAAAACAAAAACCTACATTTCCCTGCGTTTCTCTCACACAGCACATTCTACTTTTGCTTCATAGTTTTTTTTCATAGCCACAAATACACAGCATATTTTATTTGTAAAATTATCTCCACATAAAAATTATATACAGATGTCTTATCAGAAGAGAATGTGCAAGGGCTATATTGCTACACTGCTTAAAAGAAACACTTTCTAAAAACATGACGCATTAGGCACTGTCTCAACCCTAACTTCTAGATGGCCTCTCAGGAGGTGGCTTAGGAAAGTTCCAAAATCTATAGCGATTGGTTTAAAAATTAAATTTAAGAATGCTACAGCAACAGAGTTATCAAGATTACCACAGAATCACCTAGAACACCTAGAATGTAGCCACGTTTGCACTCTCATGGACTAAAGAATGAGGCATTTCAAGTAGAAGTGACTGGTAAGACGCCTTTGCCAAGGAGTCTTGGAGGTATGGGATCCAAGGCAATCCAAACAGGCAAGTGTTGCTTAAGTTCCAGGAAGGACAAGAATTGTCAGAGGGGAGCCGGCCCGGTGGCGCAGAGGTTAAGTGTGCACGTTCCGCTTTGGCGGCCTGGGGTCTGCCAGTTCGGATCCCTGGTGCGGACATGGCATGGCTCATCAAGCCACAGGCTGTGGCAGGTGTCCCACATATAAAAAAATTAGAGGAAGATGGGCACAGATGTTAGCTCAGGGCTAGTCTTCCCTGATGTGGGGTCAGTGAGCTGAGGAGTCGAAAGAAAGATTTCTTGGACTCTTAAGATCTGGCAGTAGTGCTCTTTTATTTAGAGAATAGTGTTGTCAAATAAAAATGGCAAGTAATAGGATATATTGGAATATATGAGGAAGCCATTTGGTATAAACCTAATTCGGCCTGACCTTGTCTTTCCAAAAGGGCCTGACCGAGGCCACTGGGCATGCATTGTATATCTGCTTTAGAGATTCCCTATGGCAAGAACAAAGGCCCTTGAGGTAAAGGTGCAACTTCCCTCCCCCTCCCAACGTTGGCATCTCCTTAAGGATTAAGCATCTTTCCTTAGGCTAGAAACTGATTGCTGCGCTCACCTGTGACCGCCCAGCTGGAGACAATAGACTTGCCTCCTGCTGCGCCCACTAAGATAGCAGACCCACTACCTGCTGTGTCCATCAAGTGCTGTGCCGACAGGGCAATCTTGTGACTATTGTGGGAGGGACATTTCAATCATATGTGAAACACCCTCTTTGAGGGTATATAACCCCCCTGTGTACCTCCACTTCTTTGGAGTGCTCTGTTCCTTTGTGGAAAGACTCTCCCGGGTTATAGTCCTAAAATTTAAGCTCAGAATAAACTCACCCAAATTTTCATTTATAGATTGGTTATGGATTATTTTCGTCGACAGAGGTTACAATCATTTTTACTTTTGTGTGTGATTTTGGCTTTTTTTGAGCAAGAGACAGCAGTGTCCGTAGGATGTACCTCTTTTGAACCAACTCTACTTGGTCAGGGTCACTTTCTGCATTTTGATGAAGTGTCTCTGGGAATTGGCTGCCCTGTAATGAACATAACGTCTCAGGGGTATGAGTTTAATTACCTTGTCACTGAGTGTGTGATTCAGAAAGAGGTTTTCTTCTATGGAGTGATATTTTATTCAGCCCTCCATTATAACATAATAAACAAAGGAGTCACTGGAAAAATTCCTTTAATGTGTATTGTTTCCAGCTCATCATTTTTAGATGACACTCCAGGTACTACCAACAACAATCTTATAAAGTCCCAAGATTATCTTCCCTCTGACAATTCTTTTTTTTTTTTTTTTTTTTTTGAGGCAGATGAGCCCTGAGCTAACATCTGCCAATCCTCCTCTTTTTGCTGAGGAATGATGAGGATTATTTTAGGCTGGTTACCTTTAATAAAAGCAACTCTGCGGAGCAGGGTTTGCTTGCCCTTTGTTGGGAAATATTTACATTTGTAAGGGAAACCTCCATCTGTAAAGATGCCTCCTCTCTATGCCAGGAAGAAGGGAGATGACCTTATCTCTAGAAACTCTTAATGCCAAAGGCAAGAACTTAAGTTGTTTACTGTCTGGCAACCTCTCGTAACTGACCCCCCCCCCCCAACATCCTCCTTTGTCTTTGGCTGAGGATAATATTTAAGGGGAGACTTCTGCCATTTACTCAATCTGATTTGATTCTTATCTAAAAGTTGTGGGACCGCCCAATGGCCAGAACCTACCAGATCTAATACCACTTTAACTTTTTTACATAGTCTTTCTTTTGTCTTGTAAAGAGATAACTGACATACTTATGCCTTAAATTTAGCCTTACTCTCCACCCATGTTTGCAGCAGCAGCAGCTCTCCATGCCAGCAGCAGCTCTGACTGCCTGTGGGTCCTGTCCCCATGCCAGCAGCAGCAGCAGCTCTGACTGCCCATGGGTCCTGTCCCCAAGCCAACGTTGGGAGGGGGAGAGAAGTTGCACCTTTACCTCAAGGGCCTTTGTTCTTGCCATAGGGAATCTCTAAAGCAGATATACAATGCATGCCCAGTGGCCTCGGTCAGGCCCTTTTGGAAAGACAAGGTCAGGCCGAATTAGGTTTATACCAAATGGCTTCCTCATATATTCCAATATATCCTATTACTTGCCATTTTTATTTGTCATTTCCCCCTTTTGATCTCTAATCTTTCGATAGAAAGCATTGATGATCAAAATATTCTCCCTCGGCGCCAGGGTGGTTGCTGCCTGCCCTGGGTCCATGATGTCCCTCGGTGCTAGGCTTTTATTTCACTTATTTGCCTAGTCGTCCATGTTGGGGGAAACAGTGGACAAGCATAGAGCTATATATATATATTAACAGAAGAAGCATTTCATATGTCATGTAATTTCCAATTAATTTTAGATTGTTGCACAAACATTGTATATGTGCTTCTCTATGACACTTCACATTTACATTGTATATGATTCTGGAACAAGTACAGTAACAATAATAACTCAGCATTTTTAAAAGGATTAGTCTGAAATGAATTCTTAGTCATAGTCCCTATCAGAAAAGGAAGTTTGTCCAGGGTTATAAGACAGATCAACCATCTCAAGCCGTCGAGCAATCATTACTCTAGTTTGTATGCTACTCTTACAACCCTGAGTAAAGAAAACAACAATTAGTTTGAATATTATGACCAGTACAAGGATTGCAATAAATAATAGAAATAGGAATTCCAATCCAGATCGAAAAAGGGAACTGATACTGAAAAGGGAGCCAACCAAATAAATCAAAGTAGGTGCAGGATTCACATAAGGCATCCATTTGCTTCTTCATGTGCTTTAGCAGAGATGACACATTGGAAGATTCATCACGTACAATAACACAGCATTCAGTCTGAACAATTGTATATGTACCACCTTGGGATGCAGTAAGAATATCTAAAGCCATTCTGTTTTGAAGGACAGCCCTTCTCATTAAAGGCATTTCAGTATTTAATAAGACTATTCCTGCTTGACTATCATTAAGGGCTTCTTGAGTAAATTTAGTCAGGTCTTCCATATGTAATAATGCCATCTTTTAGCTCCAAAGAAGGAGCAAATATAGCTGCAAATATAGCCATACCAGTGGAACACTGAACAAGCCCATCCGGCCTTAAAGAGAGGGAGATTGGCAAGAGGTTTTAACTCAGCCTGACTCCTTCCCTGCTTTTAAAGGAAACTCAGGGTGCAATGTTTTAGCCATCCAGGCAGTAGCCAAGGCCAAAGTTTTGTTCCACATAACCACTGAGTTCCATTAGGAGTCACTCGATAAATTCCTGGCCTTCAAGACCAGTCTGTTCCACATTAATCACTTTCTTTAAGTATAATAATATTCCAAACAAATTATAAAATACGTATACAGTTTAAGCATAACAAATGTTTAAATGAGGAGATATAAGGTTGGGAATACAGGCCTGGTCCGGAGTCTTCGGACAGCTGTCTACAACAGATGTCGTCTTCTTCTCCTCCTGGTTTGGTCCTTTTCGACAGGGCTGCAAACAGTCTTATTTGATGTCTCTTTCAATAAATAAATTCTTCAGGTTACAGTCCAAGATCCTTAAGTTCTGGGAGCTCTGTGAAAGAATCAGCTACCAATCTTTCATTTGACTTTAAGTACCTCAATAAGACCGTGACAACAATGTAATATATCCCTTAAGAAAAGCTGGTTCATATATTTCTTCATCTAATTGCATAGGCTGTTTTATTATTATTTCAAAATGAGACAGCTAATGTTTACAAAAAGTATAGATCTAAGATTAAGGAGCACTAGCACAAGAGCTTTTGGCTGTGAGAGAGTAAATGCTTCTGAAAGCTTGCCAATTAAGTTCTAGTTGTGCCATTAGTTTTACCAGTCCTGAGGATCGAGGATGGTAAGCACAGTGGAAATGCTGCAATATTGGCCAAACATTACAAACAGATTTGAGTTCCCCAGTCACTGTGTAACTCGCGAGGAATTCCTCAAACAGGAATTATTCTCTCTAACAGTAATTTACCTACTGTTAAAGCCGTTGCTCTTCTGCAAGGAAAGGCCTCAAAACAATGTGAGAACATACAGATCATTACAAGATATGTTTATCCTTGAGATGGTGGCATTTGACAAAGTCCAATTGTCATACCTCAAAGGGTCCCTTAGGAAGGGAAAGTGGCCTTGTGACCCATGAAAGTGGGTTTCTTATTGGGCCCGAACCACATCTGCGAGGGGGTGTCAAAAATTCCCCCTTTTGACTGCCATATCTGTTTCTCTCTTTCCGTGGCAATTTCTTGAGCCTGTAGAAGGAAATCTTTTACTGGGTTAGCAGAGTTAACAGAAAGTAGCAGGCATTCTTGAGGCTAGACAGCATAACATCCTCACTTATCATTTAAGTAAGACTCATTTGTAAACCAAATTAAACAATAGAATGCAGTTGTGGTCTTCTCTCCCTTGTGATGTTGGAAGCAAGGTAACAAGGTTAATGGTTGGAGCAAATTATGAATTAGTTCCTGCGTCCAGGGGGCAGGCAGTCAAGAAGACTTCTAGATGTCAGAGTCAAAGCATCTTTTTGCAGCTTGAAAGGTCTCTGATGATGTCATCAGGCATTCAGGTATCTTTTTGAGTGGCTTACAGCTTACACAGCAACAGACGGGAATCTCTCAAGTTTCTATCACGTCGTTCAACTTCAGTTTGCAGGGCTTCAGGAAAAAGAGTAGGTTCAATTCTCAATGATTCCAGATGAAAATGAGGTAAAAATTGAAAACATTAGTTTGGGGGTTTGTAACCAGATACTTCAGTAGAAGAATTCAGGATGCAGTTCAGTTCACAGGTAGAAAAAGCCTCAAAGACAATTAACAGAACTAGGATCTAATATCTACAAATGTGCATTATAGTTTTTTCACTGAAGCATAATTCTTCTCTCTAAAATCACCCTCATTTTTACCAAAGATAGTCAAATTAAGACTAATTGGTTTGCAAAATAAGTTTAGTTTCAAGAAACTTGGCCCAATTATTTACATAAGTGCAGCAAGAATAGCAATTGATCATATAGGCTCTTAAATCTGCTTTTGCTGGAATTTTTTATGAGGAATCTCAGATTGAACCTTAAAGACCTCTTGAGGCCAGAAAAGCCAAGCCAAGGATTTGTGCCATCAGGCCTTGCCTGCAATACCTTAGATTTGGGTGACTTTCCCTCCTTTCTTGAGATTCCCCAGAATATTTCGAGGTTCATTGCACCTGCCAGATAAGTAAGCTTCCTTACTTACCAGGTAAGATTGCTGGAATCTCTCTCTGTAAAGCAAGGTACCAGGCCCATATTTCCAAGTGGCTTTATTTCCAGAAAGTCAACCTTATTCCTCAAAGGCAGTATTGTCATATCTGAGTCTGTATCTTTCTCTCAAACATGACATTCCAGTCAAAGTTTTGGTAAGATAACAAATGTGTCCTGTTATAAGGAGAACAGATTCTTATTGAACTTACGCAAATAACTAATTGCCACGAAATAATCATACTCGCTCACAAAGAGTTTCCAAATTCCGGAGGGATCAGGTAGGGAGAAAAAGATAAATGTTTCAGTTTTGCTCATAAAGGTATAATTTCACTAATTGCTATAAGACATGGTTAGCATAAGAGAAAAGATTTCCTTAAATCTGAGAAAACAAAACAACACATCAAAAACGATATTTCAAACAAAAGTATAACTTTAGATATGAATCGGGTCATATAGATCGGCATGTAGGCCGGGACACCTTGGGCTTCTCTACTTGGGGCAGCCACGATCCACATCAGTTTTACTAAAGTTTATAAATACACATTTATTTGGGTTTTTTTTCCAGCTTAATTGAGACGTAATTGACAAGTTTGTGTGATTGTGTACTGTTTCCTAGATTGTGAACTCCAGGAGGGCAGACCCAAGTTCAGTCTTGATATTTGCTCCGGGACCCACTTAAAATAGTGCTCAATAAGTAGTGGTTGAGTGAAATGAATGAGTGCATTAAGTGCTTGAGAACTCTGCCCAGTTTGCTAGAAGCAGCTTTCAATCTCTGCTTAAAAGCTGGATAAGTGCCATTAAAGTTAGGACTGCAGGTGGGTGTCTCGGGTATTTCTGCCCACAGGCCCTCTTCAAACCTCACCGGCCACTCTCCACCCTATAACGTGTAGTTTCCGCCATCCAAATACCCTTTGACCCTGGCAATCAGGCATCATGCAACGTCCCTAACAATCACAGACCAAATAAAGAGAAGGATTGTGACTTTAAACGTTACTGCGTGTGCTCATCCCAAGCCCCAAATATGACGCCGGTGGCTCACAGCTCCGTTCAGGCCGGCAAAGCGCACAACTCCCCTGCCCCGCCCAGACCTGCTCCGCCACCCATCGCCGAGAAGCTCAAGCTCGCACCTCTGCTAGGACCTGCCGTACAGCATGGCAGCCCCCGAAGGCGTCGCCCCGCTCGGGGCCTACAGTACAACATGGCCGCCCACAGGAAGCGCACCGCACGCCCTTCCGTCCGGCCACCGGAAGTTTCCTTTTGAAACCCAGGCGGCAGACCAGGTCGGCGGAGCGGCAGTTGCTGGCGAGCATCTTCCGAATCAGAGCTACGAGGGCTGCGAGCAGGAGCGGCAGGCGCCTCGGTTCGGCTCTACCGGGGCGAGGGACTGGGCTGGGTGAGGGGGTCGGACGAGATGGGCCCGGAATGGAGGATTTTCTCGCGCGCGCGTCCTGCCCCGATCCGGGGCGCGCTCTGCCCGGGCCCTCCACCTGCGCAGACCCCCTGGCCCAGCCCTGGGTAACAGTCGCCTTGCACCTTGCAGAGTCCAGCCGTCCCGTCTCGTTACGATGACCAGCGTGATTAAGACAGTATACACCCTGCAGCCTCCTTCCGTGCTGAGCGGCGGCCTGCCTGCAGGTGGGTATCCATACCGCCCCCCATCGGGCCCTGGGGACCAGCCTGGGGTGGTCAGGCCGGGGAATGTGGGGCGCGGGCAGGGGGACGGCATTTCATCGGCTCTGACAACCTGCTGACTCCCCTAGAACCGGGCTGTCTAGGTTTACGATGGGAATTCGGGAAAGGGCCATGAGGTAGGATTTTAGACCTGCCCTGCGCCCCTCCTCCCCCACACCTAACCATGCTGCCTTCACCAATTAGATTTAAGTCGCTGATTGTTCTACAGTATTATTCCCATTAAGCTGGGAATCGCTTTTTAAACGGTTACCCGTTTTACTTCCAGAATTGGGCTATCTGGAGGGACTGGGTTTGTTGTCAGGACAGAGGAAAGTCGTTTGAGAAGGGGAAATTAGGGGGAAGCACTAGGGTTCACACCGTGTGTGGTTCACATTTGTGTCTGCTGCACAGTGTCTTTCATACAGTACATTCTCAATAAACGTTTGCTGAGTGAAGTGAGAGAGGGGTCAGGCCTAGCTAGAGTATTCCAGAACGTTGGGAGAGGAGACATGATTTAAAAACTTTTTGGGGGCCGGCCTGGTGGCGCAGCCCTTAAGTACGCAAGTTCTGCTTCGGTGGCCCGGGGTTCGTTGGTTTGGATCTCAGGTGCGGACATGGCACAGCTTGGCAATCCATGCTGTGGTAGGCGTCCCATGTATAAAGTAGAGGAAGGCGGGCACGGATATGAGCTCAGGGCCAGTCTTCCTTGGCAAAAAGAGGTGGATTGGCAGCAGTTAGCTCAGGGCTAATCGTCCTCAAAAAAAAAAAAAAAACCTTTTTTTGATTGCTTTGCCGTCTTGTTTTATATTACTGGGCTCTGATGGTCTGCAGTTGTGGAGTTGCCTAATCTAGAGACTAGAGCACAGAATAAGCTTCAAACATCAGAACCTGTTGTGGGAGATTTTGAAGCAGCTGTTCCCAGGTGATTCCACGCAACAGGTTGATGAGCAGGAGCAAGATGCATCTGTAAACAGCCTTTTCTCCAAAGGCTTGAGGGCTTGATGTGTTTGTCTTATGTTGCCTCAGAACACCTGAGTAGTAATCCTGGTATCAGCAGGGCCTTGAGTTGCTGGGGGAACTGGAGCCACGTCTCCGTCCACTGCCTTTCCCTCAGAGAGCAGTGCCCCTCCTTCAGGGGGGAGGGACTGGCCCTCCCCAGCCAGGCTGGAAGTTTTCATCTTTCTGCTCTCTATCCCTGTCCTAGCACTATGATCATATGTAACCTCAATGGTTTAACATTCTTAGGTTGTATCCCAGGTTTTTCTAAGTTTTAGTTTTTTGACTAGGTAACATATGCACCTGTAAAAAAAAAAATCCAAAGTTAGAAAATGATATGCAGGGAAAAACAAGCCTTCCTTCCTTGACACCAGCCATCCAATTTTCCTCCTTATGCAACGTCCCTAACAATCACAGACCAAATAAAGAGAAGGATTGTGACTTTAAACGTTACTGCGTGTGCTCATCCCAAGCCCCAAATATGACGCCGGTGGCTCACAGCTCCGTTCAGGCCGGCAAAGCGCACAACTCCCCTGCCCCGCCCAGACCTGCTCCGCCACCCATCGCCAAGAAGCTCGGGCTCGCACCTCTGCTAGGACCTGCCGTCCTAGGGTCTCATCTTAAGAAGACAGTCTTTGTTAAATCCTGCTAAATTTCTCCTGCAATGCAGTCCTTAGGTTCTAGCAAATATGGATTATTGGAACCAGTTCCAATCAATGAAGAGTGTTAATTTTGATCAATTGACTATCAACTCCTTTTTACATGGGGTAGATTTGTTATTGTGTATAACTTATTAATACTTGAGAGAGGAGAAGGTACACACATTCCCCCAAGGTTACATTTTGCTTCATATAGAGACCTCAAAAAGAGCTCTTTTAGGGGCAGCCCAGTGACGCAGGGCTTAAGTGCGCATGCTCCGCTTCCGTGGCCTGGGGTTTGCCGGCTCAGATCGCGGGTACAGACATGGCACCGCTTGGCAAGCCATGCTGTGGTAGGCGTCCCACATATAAAGTAGAGGAAGATGGGCACGGATGTTAGCTCAGGGCCAGTCTTCCTCGGCAAAAAGAGGAGGATTGGCAGCAGTTAGCTCAGGGCTAATCTTATTCAAAAAAAAAAAGCTCTTTTATTATTTGCTTTGTGAGTAAGAATATGAAAAATAGGGAGCAAGTGGCCAGTGAGTGTACCTATAAATGAAGTACAAAGTTTCCTAATCCCTGTGGTCCAGTGCTCTGGACCTCATTTCTTCAGCTTGGTTTAATTGTTGTGGTTTAATTGTATGGTTCTTAAGTCAAGCTTAAAGGAGCCATTTTACAATGAACAAGGTGAAAGTTAGTATAAACTAGAAAACTGTGTGTGTGTGTGTGTGTGTGTGTGTGTGTTGGGGGGTCGTGCTTAAGTCCAGAACAAGTTACTTGAATTTTTTTTTTTTTTTGAGGAAGATTAGCCCTGAGCTAACATCTCCTGCCAATCCTCCTCTTTTTGCTGAGGAAGACTGGCCCTGAGCTAACATCCGTGCCCATCTTCCTCTATTTTCTATGTGGGGTGCCTACCACAGCATGGCTTGCCAAGTAGTGCCATGTCCGCACCCAGGATCTGAACCGGTGAACCCCCAGCCGCCAAAGCGGAACGTGCAGGCTTAACCACTGTGCCACCGGGCCAGCCCCCAAGTTACTTGAATTTGCTATGCAAATAAATCATAGAAAGACTGTGTGTGGTGGAGGGCTGGCATCAGGGCTAGGGGAAAAAACTCTTCTTCCTCACTCTGAGGAAGAAAAGTGTCCTGGCAGAGCCGTTTCTCTGGTTATCTGACAGTAGCCTAGTGAGAAGATCAGAACAGAATGCCAGATAGGGAACCTCTAAACTTAATGATGGATAAATGAAAGGGCTGGTGGTAAAGGTGATCAGCATGGAAAGGGGGAACGAGACTAGAGGAGCTAATTTAAAGATGGTCTGTGAAACAGCCGAGGAAACTGAGGTTTTCTATTTATTTAACAAGCAGTTTTGAACCTCTCTTAAGATGCCAGATACTCTACTAGGCAGTGGGGACACAAAGACATTTCTTAGAGGAGTTAGGGAGACAGTCTGATCCAAACAACTAAGCAACAGAGGCCGGCCCTGTGGCCGAGTGGTTGGGTTCGCACGCTCCGCTTCAGCGGCCCAGGGTTTCTCCAGTTCAGATCCTGGGCATGGACCTCACACTGCTCATCAAGCCATGCTGAGGTGGCGTCCCACATAGCACAACCAGAAGGACCACAACTACAATATACAACTATGTACAGGGGGGCTTTGGGGAAAAGAAGAAGAAGAAGAAGAAGAAAAACATTGGCAACAAATGTTAGCTCAGGTGCCAATCTTTAAAAAAAAATTTAAAAAAGCTAAGCAACAGTTAAAAGAGAGACAGCTTGAGCGTAGCTTTAGGAGAGCATGCAGAGTGCTTAGCATAACAAGGTGGTTCGATTCCACTGGTGTTTGATGCAGGGTTCAACTGTATATTGCCTTGCTGACAGCCACACTGCCTCTCATTTCGCTCTTTGCTTATATCAGTCTCCACTTTCACATCTCTACCTTCTGGCCATTCGGTTTGCTATATCACCAAGCTTTTGTCTATGCTCAAACACACTGCACTGTCACATTTAAAGAATTTCGGTTTCTATCCCCACTTAGCCTAGAAGTCTTATTCTTCTGAATTAATCTTCACAAATTGAGATTGGCCAGAATGAAGATAACAGGTTTCTGACAACTTGGAGTGGAACTTTGTTTGTTACAGAGTTGCAACTGTTGGGTTGTGATGCTTGAGTTTTCACTCTCTGGTTTTCCTTTGCAGACACACAAACTCGAGCTACTTCTAAGAGCCTGTTACCTGTTAAGTCCAAAGAAGTGGATGTTTCTAGATTTCCGCATTCGGGAGGTTCAGAGAATGACGTCACAAAAGTCATCAAACCGAGACGAGAGAATGGGTGAGAATCAGGTCGTTGGTATCCAATTAGAACAACTTGCTAGAAATTGCCCAGTACCAAGAATTAGAAATTAGGGGTTTTGAGAGCACAAGGCTCCTGAACAATTGGCCCCAAGTGGTGGTGAGGGCTAGTTGTTAGCCTAGGTTGCTGGGCTGAGCACAGTCCAGCCGAGTGTAGTGCATATGTGTGTCCCCTCTACCTAGTGCTCAGTTCCCGCATATGTGAGGTTGACACAAGATAGCCACACCATTTTGAGCAGGTCTGTCAGGTTGTTGAGGTGGTCAGAAGGGGAGCCCGTTCCCTATTAATAAGCCTTTTTCAATAGTTGGGGCTGAAACAAAAGTGTGTGGGCCCTCAGAGCTTCTCAGCATGTGCCGTTTGCATGGTATGTAATCTCTGGTCCTTTCCTTAGAGAACCAGGCTCTTTGTTCTGCCTTGTTCACAAGACACGTAACAACAGTCCTATGATTCTCTGATTTGTTTCTTTGTTTTTGCTTCTTTAGGCAGGTGAAAGCTGCAGACCCTGCCATCAAGAGGAATGTCAGAAAGGGGTGAGCATCAGGATAAATGAACTTTGGCCATCATTTTAGAGTAGCGGATCTCACCCCTGGTTATACATCAGAATCACTCAAAGGACTTGTTTAATGTGTTACCGTCTGGGTGTCACCCTAGAAATCGGAATGGAATTTTCGGGGGTGAGGCACAACCAGGTTTGAGAAGCACTGTCAGGGCAAGAATAAGTGATGCTACCATCTTGATTACCAGACAAGAGCTTTTGGGGCTCCATGCCAGGACCACTGCTAATGGGAAGTCAAGCCCAACTATGGCCCATCAACAGGAGTGTGAAGCCTTCAGGATAGGAGGGGCTTCACGTGGTTAGTGATTTTGAGATGAAGGTGGGGGAGACGGAGGGGGAGGTGAAATCCTGGAGAAGGATCCGTATCTCTCTGTTTGAGCTTGGCTTGGATATTTTGCATTCCTGAAGACAAATAATATAAGCTGAAAAGTTTGTAGAAGTAGACTCTAATTCCAAATCTGTTATTTGGGCATGCCTTCAAAGTTCTGAAGACAGTATCAAGAAGGACTCTGAGAACTTTGAAAAGAAGGCTTATTATTGATGCTGATAATGGCTATTATTTATTAAATGTTTACTATGTCAGTAGTTGTGTTAAGAATTGTACATATATTCTCTCTCTTATTCAAAATAGTAATAATATTATGAGATATAGGTATTATCTTCATTCTAGAGATGAGTAAATAGAGCCTCAGAGTGGTTATGCAACTCCTTGAAGGTCGTTTATCACGACGTCAGGAAGCCAGGATTCAAACCCGTTGGTATGATTCCACAGCCCATACCCTTAACCCCTCCACCTCTTCACAGACGTATACTTGTCATTACAGCTACAAACCAGTCAGCAAGCAGAAATCAGAGGAAGAGCTTAAGGATAAGAACCAGCTCTTAGAGGCCGTGAACAAGCAGTTGCACCAAAAGTTGACTGAAACTCAGGTGAGAGACCCACCAGACCTCTGCCATAAGCTGCGCTGGGCGATGCTTGTGGACTTCTGAGGGATGGCCCCCTGGGTGGGAGCAATCTTGCCATGTCCAGGTGCCCGAGGGCAGAAAGCAAAGACACCCGGCTTGTGCCCTGGCTGTCCAAGAGCGAGGGCAGAAAAGACCTCCCCTGGGGGGTGGGACAGGACTGACTGTCTGCATGGCACCCCAATAGGGAGAACTGAAGGACCTGACCCAAAAGGTGGAGCTGCTGGAGAAGTTTCAGGACAGCTGTTTGGCAATTTTGGAGAGCAAGGGCCTCTCCCCAGGTAAGAGACAGCACACAGCTGCCTTCAGAGGAATCAGTGCACATGCCCCTTCCTGGGGTGATTCTGGACTGGGTGTCAAGAGTCCAGCATGGCCTCAGCTGGCCAGTCAGTGCAGGGGTTGCCTCACAAAACCCTAAAGGTTTCTGGAAGTTTCTCTTTCTTCTCTTGTGATGTTGGCTTTGCCTCACCAACAGCGTTTCAGATAGTTATGGAGAGAGGATTATCTCTTTCTTATCTGAACTCTGTATGCCATTCATTTGGTGCCAACAGGTGTGACCTTGCAAATAGACCAGAAATATTTTCTTTCTTTCAAGAGAGGTAGCATACGGGTAACTTTCCCAAGTGTGAGACAAAGAAGTGATGCTGTTTCAAGGGTTCCTAAACCTGGCTAATCAGCGAATCACGGTGGTTAACATGTGATTTCTCTTCTGCCCTGTCCCTGGAGAGCAGAGTCAAGCAGAAGAAGGAATTGCCCAAAGACTGTCAGAGGGCCTCAGACGGAGTTGAGGGGCCTGAGAATGCCCAGAGAAGGGGCCTAGTCGTCTTTGAATTAAGGAATACTGACTTTGATTGCTACTGGTTAACCTATGCATTTGGGATATATTCTTTATAGACACCTTATATGTTTTTGTATGATTTTAATTTGCTATGTACATGTATTACTCTTACAAAAAAGTAATAATTTTTTTAAAGCCTGAAAGCTTTTTCTTTTTTTTTTTTTTGAGGGAGATGATTAGCCCTGAGCGAACGTCTGCTGCCAATCCTCCTCTTTTTGCTGAGGAAGACTGGCCCTGAGCTCACATCCGTGCCCATCTTCCTCTCCTTTATATGTGGGACGCCTACCACAGCATGGCTTGCCAAGCAGTGCCATGTCCGCACCCGGGATCTGAACCAGAGAACCCCAGGCTGCCTAAGCAGACCATGAGAACTTAACCACTGTGCCGGCCCCCTGAAAGCTTTTAACAATAGTTTTTTGTGGGCTAGCCCCAGTGGCCTAGTGGTTAAGTTCGATGTGCTCTGCTTCAGTGGCCTGGGTTTGGTTCCTGGGCACGGACCTTTACCACTTGTCAGTGGCCATGCTGTGGTGGTGGCTCACGTGTAAACAAAAGGAAGATTTGCAGTGGATGTTAGCTTGGGGTGAGTCTTCCTCAGTTGAAAAAGAAAAAAAACAGTTTTTTGTATTTTAAACAAAACAGCAAAATCCAGCCTTATACACTTCCTTTGGACAAATTTTCTGCTGAGCTGAGGAGAAAGCAGAATTTTTGGCCATATCCAAACCTATGGAGGAACGAGGTAAAATACAGCTCTGTTGGACAGGTGTGGGTGACCCTGCCAAGGTAAAGACTCAGGAGAGAAAGTCAGGGACCAGGCGCTTAGAGAAGTTTCCCTCATGGTTATTCCCATGCTTACCCATGGAGGGGTTTTTGTTTTCTTCTGTTTAAGGTGCATTTCCCTAAGCGAGGCTGACTTTGTTGTTTCCATCAGTTTCAGGCAGTGAGACCCTGGCAGCAGACCAAGAGCCCACCACGGATCACGTGAACTCTATGGTGAGGGCACGAGTGTGAGTGGGTGAGGGCCAAGGGCCCATGGGGCTGTGCAGATCTAAGAAGGTCTCTGCCACATGCTCAGCAAACGCCAAGAGACAGCCTTTGGTTATCCATGATAGTGGAAGAGAGTGGTGGATGTGTACTCAAAATAGCATATTTTGCTCAGAAGGTGACTTTGTACTTACAAGTATGAGTGAGTTTGAGTTGAAAATGTACTACTTTAAAACACGTAATAGAATAGACCTGTATAGAGAGCTTTCTGTTTTCCCTATTCTAGACTTTGCCAAATTTCTCACCTTATTCCTTTGCTGAGAACCGTATGATGCCAAAGTCCAGGCTGAATTAAATTTGGCTTCTCTTTGGTTCCTTCCCTAAAGTAGGAAGGTAATTGTTTGGGATTAAAGTCTTTTGAGCATCTGTGATTTCTTCCCCAGGAAGAAAGATCAGTTGTCCTCTTAGAATCATAGAATACTCGGTGTGAAAGCCTTCCTCAGCTCCCCAGGTGATTGGTCACGCCTTCAGTGGCTACTATGTTTTGTTCATGTTGCCTGTGTAGCACAGAGCACATGGAAGTAGGGTAATCTGTCTGTCCTGTGGACTGAATTCCTCCCAGCACGTGTGTGGATGCTCAGTAAATGAACGAACGGAAGAGATGTTAGAAATCATCTAATTCAATTCTTGTTTCCTATGAAGAGATTAGTTTATATACATTTCAATAGATTTGTTACTACATTATATACTTTCCTCTTAGTTGCTGTTAGAAACTTTGCAAGATGAACTGAAGCTTTTTAACGAAACGGCCAAAAAGCAGATGGAGGAGTTACAGGTGAGAGGCAGACACCACTCTGAGGCAGGATTGCCGTTTCCCGCAGCAATAGGTGAATCGATGGAGGACGCTTATTTATGTCTTTACTTTTAACAGACTATTTTGTAATAACTTTAGATTTACAGAAAAGTTGCAAAGATAATACGGAGAATTCAATTCCCCTAATATTAACATCTTACATTATCATGGTACATTTGTCGAAACTGAGAAATCAACATTGATGCATTGCTATTAACTAAATTCCAATACTACATTTGGTTTCACCGTTTTTTTCAACTAGTTTTCTTTTTCTTTTCTAAAGACTGTTAGAAATGCTCACTTATGCAGGGCATGAGGCGAGGTACAACACACTAGGTTTCTCAAAGTTGAGAGCTGAGACCTGTGTGAAATCCACACTGTGGAAACAATTTCTCAAGGAAACTTGTAAGAGGAAACCCAGATTCTTGGGTCTGGGCTGCTTTGGATTGCTTGGGTGGATCATGGGATATTGCACTGAGTCCTAGAGGATTTCATCACTTCGTTTAGATATCAGAGTCTGTAGTAGAGAGGGACAGTTCCTAAAACCAGCACAGATAAACAAATCTAAGATAGAAAACACAGTGTCTGTCAGGACTCCAGTGGTCTTGGAATAGAAGCATAATATCCTGGTGTGGTATTGTCTTTCCTGTGAGTCAAAGTTTTGTGAGTTTTTTTGTCTTTTTTTTTTTTCTTTTTGAATGTCTTTCCATGCAGGCCTTAAAAGTGAAGTTGAAGATGAAAGAAGAAGAGAGGGCCAAGTTCCTAGAACAGCAGACCTTATGTAACAGCCAAGTGAATGATTTCACAGCAGCCCTTGAGGAGATGGAGCAACTGCTGGAAATGTGATAAAAAGCGAGTGGCCAGATGGCTCCCTCTTGGGGGTAAACTCTTAGAGGAAGCCGCTGAGGACATCTTCTTGGCCATGATCTTCTAGGACTCCCCATCCCCAGAATGAAAACAGTTTCTCTGGTAAGATTAAGGACAGCTTATGCTGGAGTGGCGGTTCCTCCTTTGAGTAAAGTGTTCCCAACCTTCAGATTGATCAGCTCTTCTGAACCTCACACGTACGTAACTGAGGCCTAAAGAGGGGCCCTGGAAGCTTGGCTCAACCTCCTAGGCAACATAGCGGCACACCATTACAGTCAAGAGACTAAACCAGCCACAGCCAGAGGATCCGAAAGGTCGCATTCAGATGCACAGGAGGGAAACCTTAATTGTACAGTGGAGCTCAGGTGCTCCCCAGGAAATGTCACTGAGGAGCCCTGCTCTCTGCTTCTCACTTGGAGCACTTTCTGTCCCTTCCTGGTTGGGCTCTATACCTCACTGTGGATTTTGAACTTGAAGTTACTTGAAATGACTTAGTAAATGGGGTGAAGGTATAAATAGTAACAACACCTACCTGAAACAATACACCCTGGAGCTTTTAATCTAAATCTCTTCTGTTTTTTTTTTTTTATAAATTGCTACTTTTAAAATAAATATTTCTGTAAATAATTGTACTATAACATTGAGAAATGAAAAGAGCCTTTTAACCTAAATGTGTCCACTGAATACTCTCGAACTAATCTAGTTAACAAGTTCAAGATTCCAGTTTAACCCAGAATATTTTTTTCTACTGATTAAGTGCTCCATGGCTCGCCCCATCTTGCAGGAGCATTAGCTGGTCTTCTGAGGGTGTTCCCTATTTGTAGCAGTGGGTGCCCGGCTCCATCCGCCAGGTTTGTGTCACTAGCTGCCTGTGTTCTTCCTGTGTTCCTAAGCATAGTTATATACCTGCTATTTGCTTTGCACAGCCCATCCTGGACCTGGCACCATGGATCCTTAGTCAACTGAAGGTCATGACAGGCCTTTCCCCTGTTAGCCAAAGGCACAGCCATATTTCATTTCTTAGTCAAACTGGGCAGGCCTTTGGCCATCTCCCATTTCTTCACTCCCGCCCCACCACCACCTTTCAGCATTGTTGAGGCTGCCCAGAGCCACCCAATCAAGCTAAGTAACACCCCTACCCTAACTTACAGGCCTAACATTCTTTACCTTCACACACAAACGTTTACAAGTTGGTTATGTCTTAAATATTTTGAAGAGGAAATCCAGTTAATTCTCACCAGTGAGAAGACTGAATATTTCCTTCTACAGGATGCTTATAGTTTAAAAGTTTGTTTATTCAAATAAACTTGTAATTGCCATTTCTGGCCAAAACAAAAATGTTCTACTTCCTTCTTGGAAGGAGAGGGTGGAAAATTCGGTTGTGGGATCCTCACTTCCTTGTCCTGCCTCACTAGTTAACTCCTAGGAACATGACTGTCTCAAAGCCGGTCGGTACTCTCTTCCCCACCATAGAGACCCTGTTCCCTAGTGGTCTGATCTCACGAGGCCTCTGCCTCTTGGTTCTGTTTTGCACCGCCAACCAGCCTTTGTGCGCCCTTGCCTTTTCTCTTGTTCCCTCTGACCTCTGCTGCTCCATCTGCCTTTTCTACCTGTGGAGGTCTTCTGGATGCTCAATCTGATCTAGAACCTGAATAAATTCGTACATTAACATAGGCTCAGCAAGTAGTGATCCGCATCCTCCGCTTTGCTGGACGTGATAGGAAACTTTCACGTAGCATGACGTCCTTGACCTCAAAGATGCTTACAGTCTTATTTGGTGGAAGAAAATGTTCAGGTGACATACAAGTTGAAAAGCAAAAGGCAAGACTTTACTAAACAGTGAGTTGTGTACTAAGGTAGTTAACTATGGGCTGCTGTCGATGTCTCAATCCAAGGTACACATCAGGATGGATGCGGAGAGGTCTGATGGCCACTCTGAGTTTATTATAATCAGCGTTTCAATATATACATAGCTTACATCTGTTAAACATACGCAGGTGTTCTGGATGAAGTAATTAGCAAATGCCAAGAATTCTTAATGATTTCTCAAGGAGCCCTCCCTTGGCCTCTGTTTTGATATTATGTTATTGCTGTGCTCCTATATTTTTATCTCGGAGCAGGCAAGGTCTCTTAGGCAACAGTCCCTCCTGCTCTCAATATCAATATCGTTTCTCCATCTGTGCCCCTGGGCAGCCACCGCCTGGCTTAGGTTGCCCACCCCCCCCCCCCCCCCCCGGAGGTCTTACCCGTCATTGGCTAACCGGCCTTCTCACCTCCGGGTCACAGTTTGTTGGCAAGCCTTTTCCAGTGATTATTAACCCTTCCTGTGTCAGGGGCGGCTATAGCTGCTTTGGTTGGGGAAGGCTTGATGGAGGAGATAGACTGGGGATTGAAGGAAAAGTAACATTTGGAGAGGCTAGCTAAGAAGTTGAGGACCTTCCAGGTTGGTGAACACATGGAGATTTGGGGAGTGTGGTGCACTGAGAGAGCATGGAAGCTCCATGCCCTTTCCCCATACCTTGCCCTATGCCTCTTCCATCTGGCTGGTCCTGAGTTATATCCTTTTATAATAGAGCAGTGACCTAGTAAATAAAATGTTTCTCTGAGTCTATGAGCCACTCTAGCAAATTAATCAAACCCAAGAAGTGGATCAGTAGAACCTCCAGGAAGAAATTAAGAGGTAGTATTATTAGTAAGAACACTGGTTAGGCTTGTTCAGAGGGTTTGAGATAAAAGGGAATTACGTTTACATGTAATCCCCATTACACTCATACAAGGTAAGCACTATTACACCTCCCCCTTTTTTTTTTTAGCTTTTTATTAAGATTATGATAGTTTACAACCTTGTGAAATTTCAGTTGTACATTATTGTTAGTCATGTTGTAGGTGCACCACTTCACCCTTTGTGCCCTCCCCCCAGCCCCCTTTCCCATGGTAACCACCAATCAGTTCTCTTTGTCTATATGTTTAACTTCCATCTATGAGTGGAGTCATACGGAGTTCGTCTTTCTCTATCTGGCTTATTTCACTTAACATAATACCTTCAGGGTCCATCCATGTTGTTGTGAATGGGACGATTTTATCCTTTTTTATGGCTGAGTAGTATTCCATTGTGTATATATACCATATCTTCTTTATCCAATCATCAATTGATGGGCACTTAGGTTGCGTCCATGTCTTGGCTGTTGTAAATAATGCTGCGATGAATATAGGGGTTCATGGGACTTTTGGAATTCCTGATTTCAAGTTCTCTGGATAGATACCCAGTAGTGGGATGGCTGGGTCATATGGTATTTCCATTTTTAATTTTTTGAGAAATCTCCATACTGTTTTCCATAGTGGCTGTACCAGTTTGCATTCCCACCAACAGTGTAGGAGGGTTCTTTTTTCTCCATAACCTCTCCAACAATTGTCGCTTTTGTTTTGGTTATTTTTGCCATTCTAACAGGTGTAAGGTGATATCTTAGTGTAGTTTTTTTTTTTTTTTAAGATTTTATTTTTTTCCTTTTTCTCCCCAAAGCCCCCTGGTACATAGTTGTATATTCTTCATTGTAGGTCCTTCTAGTTGTGGCATGTGGGACACTGCCTCAGTGTGGTTTGATGAGCAGTGCCATGTCTGCACCCAGGATTCGAACCAACGAAATGCTGGGCCGCCTGCAGTGGAGTGTGTGAACTTAACCACTTGGCCACGGGGCCAGCCCGTTTAGTGTAGTTTTGATTTGCATTTCCCTGATGATTAGTAATGATGAGCATCTTTTCATGTGCCTATTAGCCATCCGTATATCTTCTTTGGAGAAATGTCAGTTCATGTCCCCTGCCCATTTTTTGATTGGGTTGTTTGATTTTTTGTTCTTGAGCTGTGTGAGTTCTTTATATATTATGGAAATTAACCCTCTGTCAGATAAATGACTTGTAAATATTTTTTCCCAACTAGTGCGTTGTGTGTTTGTTCCAATCCTGTTTTTCCTTGCCTTGAAGAAGCTCTTTAGTCTGATGAAGTCCCATTTGTTTATTCTTTCTATTGTTTCCCTCGTCTGAGGAGTTATGGTGTCTGAAAAGATCCTTTTGATACTGATGTCAAAGAGTGTATTGCCTATATTCTCTTCTAGAAGACTTATTGTTTCAGGTCTAATCTTTAGGTCTTTGACCCATTTTGAGTTTATTTTTGTGAATGGTGAAAAAGAATGGTCAATTTTCATTCTTTTACATGTGGCTGTCCCGTTTTCCCAGCACCATTTGTTGAAAAGACTTTCTTTTCTCCGTTATATGCCCTCAGCTCCTTTGTCAAAGATTAGCTGTCCATAGATGTGTGGTTTTATTTCTGGGCTTTCAATTCTATTCTATTGGTCTGTGCACCTGTTTTTGTACCAGTACCATGCTGTTTTGATTACTGTAGCTTTGTAGTATGCTTTGAAGTCAGGGATTGAGATGCCTGCAGCTTTGTTCTTTTTTCTCAGGATTGCTTTAGCAATTCAGGCTCTTTTGTTGACCCATATGAATTTTAGGATTCCTTGTTCAGTTTCTGTAAAGAATGTCATTGGGATTCTGATTGGGATGGCGTTGAATCTGTAGATTTTCTTTAGGTAGAATGGACATTTTAACTATGTTTATTCTTCCAATCCATGTGCATGGAATGTCTTTCCATCTCTTTATGTCGTCATCAATTTCTTTCAGGAAAGTCTTGTAGTTTTCGTTGTATATGTCTTTCACTTCCTTGGTTGATTTACCCCAAGGTATTTTATTCTTTTTGTTGCGATTGTGAATGGGATTGAGTTCTTGAGTTCTTTTTCTGTTAGTTCGTTGTTAGAGTATAGAAATGCTACTGATTTGTATATGTTGATTTTATACCCTGCAACTTTGCTGTAGCTTGATTATTTCTAATAGTTTTCCTATAGATTCTTTGGGGTTTTCTATGTGTAAGATCATGTCGTCTGCAAACAGTGAGAGTTTCACTTCTTCATTGCCTATTTGGACTCCTTTTATTTCTTTTTCCTGCCGAATTGCTCTGGCCAAAACCTCCAGTACTATGTTGAATAAGAGTGGTGAGAGTGGACACCCTTGTCTTGTTCCTGTTCTCAGCAGAATGGCTTTCAGTTTTTGCCCATTGAGTATGATGTTGGCTGTGGGTTTGTCGTATATGGCCTTTATTATGTTGAGATACTTTCCTTCTATACCCATTTTATTGAGAGTTTTTATCATAAATGGATGTTGGATCTTGTCGAATGCTTTCTCTGCATCTATTGAGATGATCATATGGTTTTTGTTTCTCATTTTGTTAATGTAGTGTATCATGTTGATTGACTTGCGGATGTTGAACCATCCCTGTGTCCCTGGTATAAATCCCACTTGATCATGGTGTATAATCTTTTTAATGTATTGCTGTATTCGGTTTGCCAAAATTTTGTTGAGGATTTTTGCATCTATGTTCATCAGTGATATTGGCCTGTAGTTTTCCTTGTTTGTGTTGTCCTTGTCACATTTTGGGATCAGGGTGATGTTGGCTTCATAGAATGTGTTAGGGAGTGCTCCATCTTCCTCAGTTTTCTGGAATAGTTTGAGAAGGATAGGTATTAAATCTTCTTTGAATGTTTGGTAGAATTCTCCAGAGAAGCCATCTGGTCCTAGACTTTTATTTTTGGGGAGGTTTTTGATTACTGTTTCGATTTCTTTACTTGTGATTGGTCTATTCAGATTCTCTATTTCTTCCTGCTTTAGTTTTGGGAGGTTGTAAGAGTCTAGGAATTTATCCATTTCTTCTAGGTTGTCCAATTTGTTGGCATATAGTTTTTCATAGTATTCTCTTATGATCCTGTGTATTTCTGTGGTATCCGCTGTGATTTCTCCTCTCTCATTTTCTTTTTTTGAGGAAGATTAACCCTGAGCTAACTACTGCCAGTCCTCCTCTTTTTGCTGAGGAAGCCTGGCCCTGACCTAACATCTGTGCCCATCTTCCTCCACTTTATATGTGGGATGCCTACCACAGCATGGCATGCCAAACTGTACCATGTCCGCACCCAGGATCCAAACCAGCGAACCCCAGGCCACTGAGAAGCGGAACATGCGAACTTAATTGCTGCACCACCAGGCTGGCCCCTCTCCTCTCTCATTTCTAATTTTATTTATTTTAGTCTTCTCTCTTTTTTTCTTAGTGAGTCTGGCTAAGGGCTTGTCAATTTTGTTTATTTTTTTGAAAAACCAACTCTTTGTTTCATTGATCCTTTCTACTGCCTTTTTTGTTTCAGTATCGTTTATTTCTGCTCTAATTTTTATTATTTCCCTCCTTCTTCTGACTTTGGGCTTTGTTTGTTCTTTTTCTAACTCTGTTAGGTGTCATTTGA